TGAACCATAACCAGGTCTTCTCCTTATCAACTTTTCCTTCAATTTTGTCAAGGAACTGCCCATGTAATGCTTTGTTGTGCCAGCTGGTCAGCTCTGGTTTGTAGTGCAGTTTTCTTGTACTGGTTCTTTGTCTGCTGTGCTTTGAGAAATTTCTGATTATTGACTTCAATTAAAGCAAGTTCTTGGCTTTCCTTTACTTATTATTATTATTATTATTATTATTATTATTATTATTATTATTATTAACTTCTGTTGAAATCCCACTGGAATGTTTCAAAAAGATGTACCCAATTTGAAATGGCTCTATCTATGACTGAAACTCCTACCATTTGAAAGGCAGGAGCAAAGAGTTTCAAAAGAATAGTGCTAGATGCCTCACCCAGCACACAAACAGCCCCTATCCTCAGTCATTCGAAACAGAACAACTCCACAACACAAGGTCTAATGAGATATTCTCCATTTGCGGAATTAATTGTTAGATTTGTTTCTGACTCAAAATGGTTAGAAAAATTAATTATTTTTAATTTATTCAACAATTTCTAACTTTTGTGTAATTGTAACATTCCTGGCTAAAGTTGGGTGTTTAAAAAAATCAGGAAAGAAGACTCTTCTATCACTCAAAAAATTTGGAAACAACTTCATATGAAAACAAGATGAGGCATATTGTTTCTATATACGAAGGGACATCAAAAAATTTCTGCACTTTTTTTGTTGAAAACAATGAGAGCAAGCCAGCTGACCTTGCAGTTTAGTATAAGAGTTGTTTCGATGTAGTGAAGATGGCTGTGAAATGTATACATTTAACCAAAGACTAACCATCTTCTATCATATGCTACTTGTGGAAGATGGTGTGCCGGCAGCACAAATTCATCTCTGCACGTGCGCTCAGTATGGGGATAAACTTCTCTCTCCTAGAGTCATCCATGAATGGATTGAAATGTTTGAAAATAGTGTGAAGGACGTCCAGCTACAGCACATGTGTCAAACTCAAGGCCTGAATCCAGCTCACTATAAAAATACATGCATTTATTGTACTTCAATTGTATTTTGACTTTATATCAACACCCTGAGATTATTTTTTTTTCATTTTTGTATTTGTCTTGTTTTTGACGTGTTTAAGATTGTGTGGTTGTTAGCCACTTTGAATTCCTATGGGGAGAAAGGCAGGGTGTAAATAAAGTTAATACTCATGAACAGGGAATTTATGGGAAAAGTGAGTAATTTTATATAAAAAGAAAGACTCTAAAAGTCTTAAAGGCTTCAGTGTTTAAAGGAAATAAGGAAGTAATAGTCGTCCCTGTGGACAAAAAATAAACATTAAGTGCTTCAGTTTTCTTTTCGCTAAATAGAATGCAAGGCGATTAAGGAAGAACCTCTAACTCAAAGGGAAGGAAGGAAGTCTAAAGAAGACACCGAAGCAGTGACTCTATTTTTATTATTTAATTGTATTATGTTCTGTTTACCTTGTTTGAATTTGTCCTTCTTCTTTGTCCTTTTTTATGATGTATATTTTTTCTTGAATCCTATACCTAAAAAACCTAAACCTAAAAAATTCTCAGGGTAGTCCACAAGAAGGCCTTTGTTGTTGTTCATTCGTTCAGTCGTCTCCAACTCTTCTGTGACCTCATGGACCATCCCACGCCAGAGCTCCCTGTCAGCCGTCACCACCCCCAGCTCCTTCAAGGTCAGTCCAGTCACTTCAAGGATGCCATCCATCCATCTTGCCCTTGGTCAGCCTTACTGGTACATTATTTAAACTGTTATGTTTATTCATAACCATGCTCAATATATCTCATATGCATGGGGGTATTGGGGCAACGATACAAAAAGTTTGCTAGGGTAGATCCTCAGCCTCCTCTCCCAATCAAACTCAGCCCCCCCCCCCATCAAAATCCTGGTTATGGGTCTGATTCACACCTAGCTCCAACAGGCAAGAGTTCTTTCTCCCATCCTGGATATTCCACAGATACATAAACCCAATTTTCCTAGTTCCAACAGACCTCACAACGTATTGTCGAAGGCTTTCATGGCCGCAATCACTGGGTTGTTATAGGTTTTTTCGGGCTATATGGCCATGTTCTAGAAGCATTCTCTCCTGATGTTTCACCTGCATCTATGGCAAGCATCCTCAGAGGTAGTGAGGTGTGTTGGCACTGGGAAAATTGGGTTTATATATCTGTGGAATGACCAGGGAGGGACAAAGGACTCTTGTCTGCTGGAGCTAGTTGTGAATGTTTCAACTGATCACCTTGATTAGCAATGGATGGCCTGGCAGTGCCTGGGGCAATCGTTTGTTGAGAGGTGATTAGCTGTCCCTGATTGTTTCCTCTCTGTTGTTTTGCTGTTGTAATTTTAGAGTTTTTTTAATACTAGTAGCCAGATTTTGTTCATTTTCATGGTTTCCTCTTTCTGTCGAAATTGTCCACATGCTTGTGGATTTCCATAAGACTACACAGAGAAGCCATTGAAATCCATAAGAATGTGGACAATTTCAACAGAAAGGAGGAAACCATGGAAATGAATAAAATCTGGCTACCAGTGTTTTAAAAAACTCTTAAAAATTACAACAGCAGAACAACAGAGAGGAAACAATCAGGGACAGCTAATCACCTCTCAACAAAAGATTGCCCCAGGCACTAACAAGCCACATGAAAAAACTGCCAGGCCATCAAATGCTAATCAAGGAGGTCAGTTGAAACATTCACACCTAGCTCCAGCAGACAAGAGTCCTTTGTCCCACCCTGGTCATTCCACAGATATATAAACCCAATTTTTCCAGTTCCAACAGACCTCACTACCTCTGAGGATGCCTGCCATAGACGTAGGCGAAACGTCAGGAGAGAATGCCTCTAGTCTAGAACATGGCCATATAGCCCGAAAAGACCTCACAACCTCTGAGGATGCCTGCCATAGACACAGGAGAAACGTCAGGAGAGAATGCCTCTAGTCTGTTACATGGCCATATAGCCCGAAAAGACCTCACAACCTCTGAGGATGCCTGCCATAGACGCAGGCGAAACGTCAGGAGAGAATGCCTCTATAACATGGCCATATAGCCTGAAAAAACCTCACAACCTCTGAGGATGCCTGCCATAGACGCAGGCAAAACGTCAGGAGAGAATGCTTCTAGTCTATAACATGACCATATAGCCCGAAAAGACCTCACAACCTCAGAGGATGCCTGCCATAGACGCAGGCGAAACGTCAGGAGAGAATGCCTCTAGTCTATAAGATGACCATATAGCCCGAAAAGACCTCACAACCTCGGAGGATGCCTGCCATAGATGCAGGCGAAACGTCAGGAGAGAATGCCTCTATAACATGGCAATATAGCCTGAAAAGACCTCACAACCTCGGAGGACGCTTGCCATAGATGCAGGCGAAACGTCAGGAGAGAATGCTTCTAGAACATGGCCATATAGCCCAAAAAAACTACAACAACCCAATCATAACAAGTATAGCAAAATTGGTAAACTGTTCCCAGGGAAGGGGGAAATGATGTAAAACTGGGTCCAGGATGATGAAGAAAACCAAATGAGGAAGAATGCCTCCTAAACACCAAAGCAGCCAAGTAGTTTAAAGAGAAGCATTCAAGGCGGCAGGCCCTAAACACTCAAGTTTAGTAGGTTCTTGTAGGTTTTTTGGGCTATAGGGCCATGTTCTAGAGGCATTTCTCCTGACGTTTCGCCTGCATCTATGGCAAGCATCCTCAGAGGTAGTGAGGTCTGTTGGAAATAGGAAATGGGTTTATATATCTGTGGAATGACTGGGGTGGGGCAAAGAGCTCTTCTCTGCTGGAGCTAGGTGTGAATGTTTCAACTGACCACCTTGATTAGCATTTGATGGCCTGGCTGAGCCTGGGAAAATCTTTTGTTGAGAGGTGTTAAGATGTACCTGGTTGTTTCCTCTCTGTTGTGTGAACCACTGACCGCATAGGGAAGCTGATGAGGAAACACAACATACAAACAATCTACAAACCCACCAAGAAAATCCAACAAATGCTACGTTCAGCAAAGGACAAGAGGATCCTCTCACCTCTGCAGGAGTCTACCGTATACCATGCAGCTGTGGACAAGTCTACATAGGGACCACCAAACGCAGTGTTGCCCAAACACGAATCAAGGAACACGAAAGGCACTGCAGACTACTTCAACCAGAGAAGTCAGCCATAGCAGAGCACCTGATGAACCAACCTGGACACAGCATATTATTTGAGAACACAGAAATGCTGGACCACTCTCACAACCACCATGTCAGACTACACGGAGAAGCCATTGAAATCCACAAGCATGTGGACAATTTCAACAGAAAGGAGGAAACCATGAAAATGAACAAAATCTGGCTACCAGTATTAAAAAACTCTAAAATTACAACAGCAAAACAACAGAGAGGAAACAACCAGGCACATCTTAACACCTCTCAGCAAGAGATTTTCCCAGGCTCAGGCAGGCCTTCAAATGCTAATGAAGGTGGTCAGTTGAAACATTCACACTTAGCTCCAGCAGAGAAAAGCTCTTTGCCCCACCCCAGCCATTCCACAGATATATAAACCCATTGTCCTAATTCCAACAGACCTCACTACCTCTGAGGATGCTTGCCATAGATGCAGGCGAAACGTCAGGAGAAATGCCTCTAGAACATGGCCCTATAGCCCGAAAAAACCTACAAGAACCTAGTGATTCCAGCCATGAAAGCCTTCGACAATGCACTCAAGGTTAGATCTGAAAGTCTTGCAAGATAGAGGGAGAGGGCTGGGAGGAGAGGCCTGTCCCGCCCAGGTGCCGCCGGAGGGGCGGGGAAAGCCAAGGCAGGGCTCAGAGCCGGCGGGAAGGAAGCGGGCCCGCTCTCGCCTTCTTCGCCTTGGCCTCTGCTCCAGCCGGGAGAGAGAGAGATCAAGAGGGAGGGAAAGTTGGGGACTGTTGCGCCCCTCCAGCCACTCTGGGGCTCCCCTTCCCAAAGCAACGCCTGGCCGCCCAGAGGAAGTCGACAGTCCTCGCCTTTCGAGGAAGGACTTGGTGTGCCCTTCAGAGCAGCAAAGGAACTCAAGGGAAGCCCCGCTTGGTGCCTTCCCATTGGCGGGGACGGAGGGTAAGGCAAGAGCTGGCCGATGGGGAAGGGAAGGAACAGAACTAGCCCGGCTTGCCTGGGGGGGAGGGAGGGAGGGAGGGATGCCTGGCTTACCTGTTGAGTCTTCCTCAACCAAAAGGGGGGCGCGTTCAAAAGTAGGGGATAAGCAGGAATCACATACAATAAGGATGGAAATAGTAATAGTAATCATTTTGGGGGATTGGTGTGAACTTGGCTCGGACTTTTAGGTGGACTTAGTGATAGTAATCTATTATTATTATTATTATTATTATTATTATTATTATTTTGGGGGATTGGTGTGAACTTGGCTCGGACTTTTAGGTGGACTTAGTGATAGTAATTATTATTATTATTATTATTATTATTATTATTATTATTTTGGGGGATTGGTGTGAACTTGGCTCGGACTTTTAGGTGGACTTAGTGATAGTAATTATTATTATTATTATTATTATTATTATTATTATTATTTTGGGGGATTGGTGTGAACTTGGCTCGGACTTTTAGGTGGACTTAGTGATAGTAATTTATTATTATTATTATTATTATTATTATTATTATTTTGGGGGATTGGTGTGAACTTGGCTCGGACTTTTAGGTGGACTTAGTGATAGTAATTATTATTATTATTATTATTATTATTATTATTATTATTTTGAGGGATTGGTATGAACTTGGCTCGGACTTTTAGGTGAGCATAGTGATGATAATAATAATAATAATAATAATAATAATAATTTTGTGGGATTTGTGAGATCTTGGCTCGGACTTTTAGGTGGACATAGTGATAATAATTATTATTATTTTGTGGGATTGGTGTGAAATTGGCTCGGATTTATAGGTGGACATAGTAGTAGTAGTAATAATAATAATAATAATAAATTTTGTGGGGTTGGTGTGAACTTGGCTTGGACTTTTAGGTGGACATAGTGATAATAATAATAATTATTGTTTTGTGAGATTGGTGTGAAATTGGCTCGGACTTATAGGTGGACATAGTAGTAGTAGTAGTAGTAGTAGTAATTTTGTGGGATTGGTGTGATCTTGGCTTGGACTTTTAGGTGGACATAGTGATAATAATAATAATAATTATTATTTTGTGGGATTGGTGTGAAATTGGCTCGGTCTTATAGGTGGACATAGTAGTAATAATAATAATAATAATTTTGTGGGGTTGGTGTGATCTTGGCTTGGACTTTTAGATGGCTATAGTAATAATAATTATTATAATTATAATTTTGTGGGATTGGTGTGAACTTGGCTTGGACTTTTAGGTGGATATAGTTATAATTATAATTATAATTTTGTGGGATTGGTGTAATCTTGGCTCGGACTTTTAGGTGGACATAGTGATAATAATAATAATAATTATTATTATTATTATTTTGTGAGATTGGTGTGAAATTGGCTCAGACTTATAGGTGGACTTAGTGGTAATAATAATAATAATAATAATTTTGTGGGATTGGTGTGAACTTGGCTTGGACTTTTAGGTGGATATAGTTATAATTATAATTATAATTTTGTGGGATTGGTGTAATCTTGGCTCGGACTTTTAGGTGGACATAGTGATAATAATAATAATAATTATTATTATTATTATTATTTTGTGGGATTGGTGTGAAATTGGCTCAGACTTTTAGGTGGATATAGTAATAATAATAATAATAATAATAATAATAATAATAATAATAGTAATAATAATAATAATAATAATAATTTTGTGGGATTGGTGTGATCTTGGCTCGGACTTTTAGGTGGACATAGTGATAAGAAGAATAATAATTTTGTGGGATTGATGTAAACTTATCTTGGACTTTTAAGTGGACATAGTTTTGTTTTTAATTTTTTTCGTGTCAGGAGCGACTTGAGAAACTGCAAGTTGCTTCAGGTGTGAGAGAATTGGCCGTCTGCAAGGATGTTGCCCAGGGGACACCCAGAGGTTTTGATGTTTTACCATCCTTGTGGGAGGCTTCTCTCATGTCCCCACACGGGGAGCTGGAGCTGACAGACGGAGCTCATCCACGCTCTCACCAGTGATAGCAATAACAATGATAATAATATTTTTTTTGGATTTATGTGAACTTGGATCAAATGTTTAGGTGGACATTATTATTATTATTAGTATTATTAGTATTATTACTGTGAGCTTGGCTCGGACTTTTAAGTGGACATAGTGATGTTAAAAATGATAGTCACGAGAAATGACAAAAATCATAGAATTAAAGTTATTATCTTACAAATCATCCATTTTTAAAAATATGCCTTATTTACTCAAATATAAAGTATAAGGTTTTCATGAGAATGGTGTGTCCCCCTAAATTTCATTATTACAATTTATTTTTGTGTCCAAATCTCTTAAAAGGGGTTGGTTTAAACTCTGTGTGGCTGGTGAAACTGAATTACTGTATCACAAAGCGATGCATGTCTAAAAAGTGTATCGTCAGCATGCAGTATTTGGAAAACGCTGGCGTAAAGGTTTACTTTATCCTTCTGTTGGTTTCCATGCCCCTTTCCCAGCAGATAGGCTGTTTGTTCTCAGAATACCTAAACTTTGTTTACATCAGTGTCCACTTACAGATGTGAGATAACCATCTATGGCAGTGGTTCTCCACTATCCTAAAGCCGTGACCCCTTAATACAGTTCCTTATGTTGTGGTGACCCCCAACCATAACATTATTGTCATTGCTACTTCACAACTATAATTTTGCTCCTGTTATGAATCATCTTGTAAATATCCTATATGCAGGATGTATTTTCATTCATTTGGCACAAATATTCGATACGCCCAAATTTGAATACTGGTGGGGTTGAGGGGAGGATTGATTTTGTCATTTGGGAGTTGTAGTTGGTGGGATTTATCGTTCACCTTCAACATCAAAGAGCATTCTAAACTCCACCAATGATGGAATTGAACCAAACTTGGGACACAGAGCTCCCATGACCAACAACAAATTCTGGAAGGGTATGGTGGGCATTGACCTTGGGTTTTGGAGTTACAGTTTACCTACATCCAGAGAACACTGATGCATCTGGACCAAACTTGGCATGAATACTCAATGTGACCAAATGTGGACACTGCTGCAGTTTGGGGAAACTAGACCTTGACTTTTGGGAGTTGTGGTGGCTGGGATTTATAGTTCACCTATAATCAAAGAGCATTCTGAACTCCACCAATGATAGAATTGGGCCAAACTTCCCACACGGAACCCCCACGACCAACAGAAAATACTGTGTTTTCTAATTGTCTTTGTCGACCCCTCTGACACCCCCTTGCGACCCCCCCAGGGGTCCTGACCCTTTCCATGGTAGTCCATGCTCTGGTTACATCCTGTATAGACTACTGCAATGCACTCTATGTGGGGTTGCCTTTGAAGACTGTCTGGAAGCTTCAAGAAACACTGATCTATGGGATGAGATACCTCTGTTAAAATGCAGAGGAATGATGGAAAAGTGAGAATTAAACTAGTCATGTTCATGATGGGGGCAAGTTAACAAGAGAACCAGTGTGGTGTAATGGTTTGAGCATGTAAGCAGGATTTAAACCCTCACTGGGCCATGGAGACCCACTGGGCAAGTCACACTCTCTCAACCTCACAGGAAGCCAGCAAATGTTAGTGTCACCACAAGTAGGGAACCACTTGAAGGCACACAACAGCAAAGGTAATACACTCCCTATCCCTATCTCTCTGTTCATAGAATTATAGAATTGGAAGCAACCACATCAAGTCCAATCCAGTTCTGCCATGGAAAAACACACAATCAAAGACCCCTTACAAATGGTCACCCAGCTTCTGTTTAAAAGCCTCCAAAGAGGGAGCCATCACCTGACTCCAAGGCAGAAAGTTCCACTGTTGAACAGGATCAGGAAGCTCTTCCTGATATTCAGCCTTTCCATGGTAGTTTACGCTCTGGTTACATCCCGTATAGACTACTGCAATGCGCTCTATATGGGGTTGCCTTTGAAGACTGTCCGGAAGCTTCAAACGGTCTAACGGACAGCAGCCAGGTTGCCAACAGGAGCAGTGCTCAGTGAGCACACAACCCCTCTGTTGCGCCAACTCCACTGGCTGCCATTTTGCTACTGGTCACAATTCAAAGTGCTGGCTTTAGCCTATAAAGCCCTAAACAGTTCTGGCCCAACTTACCTGTCCAAACGCATCTCCCCTTATGAACCCTCCAGGACCTTAACATCATCTGGGAAAGCCCTGTTCTCGATCCCGCCTTCGTCACAAGTATGTTTGGTGGGGACAAGAGACATGGCCTTCTCAGTAGTGGCCCCTTGACTATGGAACGCCTCCCTAGGGATATTAGATCGGCCCCTTCCCTTTTATCATTCCGAAAGAAAGCCAAGACTTGGCTCTTTGAGCAGGTGTTTGCAGATGCAATATAACAGACATAGAAAAAAAGAAATGGAACGACTAGACGATGCTATTGGATAATGTTTTTAACTATGAGACTCAAATCGATACATTTTTTTTATTGATATTGATTGTTTTATCTGGTTTTATATTTGAATTAACTGCTGACTATAAACCTCCCTGAGTCGCTTGCGGGCTGAGAGGGGCGGAATATAAATATAGTAAATAAATAAATAATAAATAAATTTCCTGCCTTTTGAACCCATTGCTTCATTGAGTCCTAGTCTCCAGGGCTGCTCATTCCTCCTTATGGCATCCTTTCAAATATTTAAACATGGCGATCATGTCTCTTCTCATCCTTCTCTTCTGCAGGCAAAACATACCCAGCTCCTTAAACCGCTCCTCATAGGGACTCATGGTTCATTAGAGTAGAGATAATTTTTATGTCCCTTTAGCCTTTTCTCACTTATAAATAAGGAGTTTTATTACCAGTTCTGGTCCTCTGAGCCAGTGTGGTGTTGCAGTTCAATTGCTAGAAACCAGGGTTCAAATTCCCTGTTTGCCACAGAAACCCACTGGGTGACCTTGAGCAGGTCATGTTTTCTCAATCTCTGAGAAGGGCAAAGCCAACCTATTAA